AGGCAAAGGCAGAAAAAAATGGCAGTTCTGCCACAGGCATTAACTCCAACCCTACTGCCTTAGCTTGGATTTCTACTCATGTTTGAGATACACAGTCCTTTCTACTATTATAGGGTGTTTGGCTCAATTTGATTCATGCTCTGCTTGGGACCAGGAGAAATGTAAACTGGCAGTCATGAGAGGAATACGGGCTTAAGCTTAAACATGGTCTTAGCTTGCCAGGCTCTATAGGCACAGCAGGTAAGCTGAGCTACAGCAAAACTGACCCAGCAAACTGGGTATGGTCCTGAATTCTGAGCTGGATTATCAAATGGATACTGTATGCTAAACTCATGAACCTACAGCTCCCAGGGAATTCTCTTTTTCATATGCCCCCTATGGATTCATACCAAAATAAGGTGTGACTAGGTCCTTTGCTTTGGTACCAGCCTTTTGTGGGGGTTTAAAATCTCTAGTACTCAAACTGATTTATGATTTTTTTTTTCTTTCTCCAGCAGATTTGCTCCTGGGATGACAGCTTCGGGTATCTCAGTGCTCTGAATCAAAGGAATATTTTCTGTCTCCATATATGCACAGCCTCTTGTTTGACAAGGGCCACATTTGCAGACTGAAATAGCTTTGTGATACCGCTTTTCATAACATAATGAAACCTCTGAATACAGCTAGTTGGAAAATTCCCAGAAAAAATTACTTTTGTCCTAGATAAGCCAGCATTTACACCTTTGGAGCAGAGATAATTAGCTTGTGTGGGGCTTTCTACAGTGAATCTAGGCGAACCAAATTAATCAGATTCTCTCCAGCAGCTGTGACTTCTCCTGGGTTTACCCAGAGCCTTTAGAGGAACTCAGCTTCACACTTAAAACAAGCCAGGCTTGGATATCACACACAATGAACTGAGTATACAAGATTCCTTTCTTCATCCATGCTATGCTGTTCCCTCCTGCTGCCCTTCTTCAAAAAGTAGCATGAGGGAATGCATAGCAAGTGAAAAGGGGTAGGGTAGGGGCAGTGCAACATGATCCTCACAAGTGATTTCTTTTGCAGCTGTTCTTTCCCTTTGGTCATTTGTGCTCATACTGGGTCCATCACCTTGACAGGACATAGTTTTCCCTGCATCAGAATCTCTAACTCCTTCCTGGGAGGCAATCTGCTCCATTTTTTTTTTCAAATAGAAAGAAGGTCTTTGTCATGAGAGCACATCTACTGCTAAGGTTTCTGAAGAGTATCTTGAGATGTTCTGAGAATTCTTCGTAGTTTTTCCAGCACCGTAGGTTAGATTTTCCTACTGCATACTTCAGCTTTTAGAACATTCGCAGTTGTTCATAGACTTGTTTAATGATTCTTTTACCTGTGGACAGATATAGTCACTTGCAACTCAAAGGTCAGGCATAGCACAAAAGAAAAGAAATAATATCTATGATTACTAGGTCATTCCTAGCTCCAAACACTTGGCATACAGTCTACATGGCAAATGTGGAGAAGCTAAGGGAACTACTTGTTCAGCATAGAGAGGAAAATATACTGTCTTACACAATCTAAAAAGGTAAGTCACAGGGGAGGAGACAGAGCAAATCCCTTCCTGAACAGGAAATACTTTTCAGAATGAAAAGAAAAGGAGCAATAAGTGTATGCTGCAATAGAAGATACTCCCAGTTGGTCACCAAGAAAAATATTTTACCTGAGAGAACAGTGTAGGTCTGGACAGAGCCCATTGAGTCGACGCCAGAATCAGGAGGAAAATTTCAGTCCATGAGAGAACAGAACCTGTCATAAGAAAGAATACTTTTGTTTCAAACCGCTCCCTGATTGTAGAATCTCTTGGATATCAGGGAGCACTTACTACATAAGTAAGTGCTCTCCAGCTGGCTGCTGCCCTGCACCAACACTCAACATGCCTTGTAATTTTGGCTGCAAGCTTTGGAGCATGACAGGTGGATTAAGTTAGAAGGTTCCTTGGCAGGGATTAAAACTGGAAATCAATGCAGTTCATCTATCAAGCCTCAATACTGCACCTGCAGGGAAATTCACCCACAACAGCAGGCTCTGCCARGGGCTCATCTATTCATGGACCAGCCATTGCTCAGAAAAGTGGCCTGCATAGGGAGTTCTCCTACAGTGTTAGAGACAGCCCTGTCTGAGAGGCACCCTTAAACTTACGCCTTAGAACTCTCAAAGCTTTGTCATGAATTGCTACGACATTCTAGTATGAAACCTTGGCAAATATGGAGAGTCTCCTCAGTCTGGGAGCTCTGAAAGGTCTTGTTTCAATGTAGCAGTGATCTCACTGGWTTACATATTTAGAAAAATTGAGATCCAACCTCACTGACTATCACAAATGAGTGAATAGCAAGAATTCTCATTCCCTAAAGGAGAACTCTAGGGAGGGTAAGTGGTAGAGATGGGAAAATGAAACTTTGAACAGTAACAGTCTTTCCTGGAAAAGGCTGAAGTGTGACAGAGGACAACAAGGGAGGTGGAAGAGGAAATTTATAAGCTGAGCTCACTGGAGAATATGCTCATGAAATTCTTGACTACATTCCTCTCATTCCTCCTTGTCACTAGCTCATATGGAACTACTGGCGATACTACAATATTGCTCTCTTCAGTTAATCATCTACCAGGATCTGCTCTTATTTCCTTGAATCATTGATACAACATGACTCGGGACTAACAGAGACTGAGGAATGAGGAAGAGAACAGCCAAGCCAGGCAACAGTACTCAACAGACACTGTGCAATTGCATAATGTACTTAGAGACACTGCTGATGGTGAGAAATTGTCCTCCCCTTCTACTGTGCTTTGAAGTTTGATTTCCAGAAGGAGGGGATCCTGCCCCTCTGCTCAGTTCGGATGAGGCCGCGCCTGGAGTATTGGGGGCAGTTCTGGGCTCCGCAGGACAAATGGGACATGGAGCTTCTAGAGGGGGTTCAGTGCAGAGTGACAAAGATGATTAAGGGACTGCAGCATCTGTTGTATGAAGAAAGACTAAGTGAGCAGGGCCCGTTTAGCTGGGAGAAGAGAAAGCCGAGAGGGGATCTGATCAATATGTATAAGCGTACATATACTTATATGATATATACATATATATTGATCAGATCCCCTCTCAACTTTCTCTTCTGAGGGGAGAATGTAGGGAGGAGGAGGCCAAACTCTTGTCAGTGGTGGTCATTGATAGGACAAGGGGCAATGKGTACAAGTTGAAACATAGGCAGTTCCATCTCCATGTGAGGAGGAACTTCTTCACTGTGAGGGTGGCAGAGCCCTGGAACAGGCTGCCCAGGGAGGCTGTGGAGTCTCCTGCTCTACCAGTCAGGCACAATCCAATAACATAATCCATCAGTAGCCCAGAAGAGCCATGCTCCCTCATTCCAAAAATAGTGACATTGTTCTGTAATATTTAAGAGATACCTGCCTTCCTGTTCTTCTGTGTTCTCCAGTTGCTTCATACCCCTCAGTGACCAWCTGACTATAGCATGCATTGCTCAACAAAGAGCTCATGTTTTCAACAAGGACATATTTTAAACTTCTTGATGAACCTGAACAATCTGCGAATGAGCTCTGGATTCCAAATTCTTCTCACCTCCCATTACTGGACTTTTAAGGTAAATTTGGTGCTAAATATCTTGGTGCTGTGTCAGAACATGTCAAAATACCACAAAATTGATTCCTACAGAAATGTGTGTCCAGCTGTAAGCATAGGTTTACTAGCTTCCTGCCTTCTCTCTTAGGCCTGTTCCATCWTAAGATGTCCCTTATGAACTACTATCCCATGAACAATTCCTTCAATGGATGAGAGAGGATTCCTGACCCCATATCTGCAAATCATGTTAATGAGCTGCTAATTTGCAGGGGCAGATTCTGTTTTAGCTGGAGTCACTGAAGACCTGCTGGAAAATCTCCTGTCCTTTTCCCTTTGAATATTAAGGGATTAGCCCCTACCCCTCTGCCTTTACTTCCTACAACATTAAAGACTAAGGATTACAGCAGTTTATCGAACTGAAGACATGAATAAAAAAAAAAAAAAAGTCTCATAGTACTGTGCTCATCTTCTAAGAGAGCAGAGACTTGACTAAAATGAAAATGAATACAAACTACAGAGAATCATGATAATAGGTCAGTAAAATGGGTCATCGCAAATGATGATGCCTGTGCCAGGACAAAGTTCATTATGGTGTTTCCGCTTACTGTGGGTCACCTGTCTGCTTGTGCAATACTGCAGCAGTGCACTAACAGCTATCAGCACTGACCATCAGACACCTCCCTAGCTGTTCAGGGATGTGGGGCTACGGTTCAGGTCGTGGTTTGACTGTCCAAGCATTCAGCCCCTGCAGAGCCAGGCATCTGGACTTGGAGGGGACGGTTCCAACAGTCGGTGGGAGCAGATTGTGCCTCTCCTTTTTTTCTTTTTTTTTTTCTTTTTTTTGTAGGGAGTCAGAGTTGATGAGGTTCACACAAGAATAGTGAAGAGGGAAAAAAAATACATTTTTTCTTGCCTTATTGTGGACTTTTATTACAAGTAGTAGGTAGAAACATTTTTAAATATCAAAATAAATCATAGCTGTGTAATCACAGAACTGAAGCCTGGAGGAAAACTGGCCAACTTTGCACCACTTTTGCTCAGCTCTTGTTTCTCTATGTACCATTGAAAAGACATACTGCCAAATGCAGGGAAGAGAACAAACTACAGTTTGTTCGCCCCAGAACTGTGTGAACAAAAATATTTTAATAGATCTGTGCAGGAAAACCAGTACACTAATAGGCAATACATGAGAGAATAATGACTAGGAAAGAAGAACTAGTGTATCAAGCAAAAATAAATTGTAAATTTTCCACMAAACATTCTGAGAAACCTGAACGACCTCTCTTTAGCACAAGACTGTTGAAGCTAGGAAGTTTTCCTCGGCATTCTGCACTGAGCAATCCTTGTCACGAGCACAAAGGACACAGCTGCAAGATGGTTTCCTCAACATTTTAACTACAAAAGTGTTCTAGTATAATCAATGTGGCAGCTTTGTATCACATCAGACTATGAGGGATTCTGGTAAGTCTTGTAAATGCTATGATGTGGAACAGCTGAAGTATATTTAAGTCACTTAATGTGAATACGCACAGAACCCCTGCATGATTGCAATAACCAGGTTTGGAAGGGCAAGCCATGCATCCCCACTCTTAGAGTTCCTTGCAAGTGTTAAAATAATGGACAAAAATAATCAGATGACAATATTTAGATTTGTTTTCAACAGCATTCTGATACAATTTCTCACATAAGACAATGAGGGAACTGAAGAACAAATTAAAATCTGTTTAAGATATCGGAAATGAAGAGAGGGAAGAAACTGCCATTTCTTAACTGAGAAAGAGGTTAGTAACAGCAKGTGGGAACCCCATGCCTGTGGGATTCATGCAAGGATTGCTGATGTTCACTAGTAGTTATCTGAGAGTCTGAATACTGACATACCAAATACTGTAAGAAAATATGCTGTTATATTTAGTCATGCATACACAAGAAGGAAAACAATCAGAGTTTTGGTAAGTCATGAGTCTTGGTCTGGAATCACTACCTAAGTAYGATGCAGTACAGACAGGAGAAATTGAAGTGCATTAGAGATGTCTGAAATATCTGGCATTAGTCACCAAGACAAAGTACAGCAGGAAAGAGAACATGTCTCTGTTTAGTGATAGCAGTTATTGACGTGCTGACTGCACTCGATTTCGTGCTCAGTGTGTAATACCACCAGGAGCTAAGCAGCATCAAAAATGTAGGACCAGCTTTGTTCTATAGAATGAGCATAAAGTTAGATATGGCAGTGCTGATGATTGCTCACTAATCCAGAAGGATATTTCCTTTGCTCCTTTTTCTAATTTAAATTAAAAGGTAGTCAAAATTTCCTGCAATATTTAACATTGCAATATCTGCCATATTTTGAGAGGAAAAAAATGCCACATAAGTTTCAGAGAAGTTGCCCCTTAGCTGCATTACTTAATTAAATGGATATGATTAGTACTTTGCTAACTTAATAGAAATTAATGAGTTGAGTGCAATAATAAACATATATCAAGTGGTAACTCTTCATTTGGTCTCATTTGAGATAAGAATCTCACATTCTCTAATTTGGAACACGTTACAAAGCCTACCGTGGTGCTTCTATAGAAAGCAATGCAGGGCCAGAAGCATGTGTCCAATTTATATAATAGCATTTTAGGATCTATTATTTCTCAAAGAAGTTTTAAGTCATCTGTTTCAGCACTCCCACTCCCTCCCCAACTGTTGCTCAAAACCATGTCAAAGCCCAACCATTAACTGGTAACTCCAGTCAGATCTCTGAAAAGATGAAGCCCTGTTCCTCAAAGGAGCCACATGGAGGTTAGTTAGGACAGGAATTAATCCTACAGGTGCAGACATAACCTCCAAGCTGGGAATGAAAAGTAGCCTCTGCACATCCATGACTGCTGTCTTCTTTACAAGTTTTTGCAAGCTCTGAGACTGTCAACTTCTGCAGTCAAAAACACATTCATTTATTTTTCTATGCCTGCCTTGCTGATTATCTGTGATTTTTCATGTTAGGTATTATACAGGGTTAGCTTTTCTTGGGGCTATCCAGTCTCTACACTCACACATCGCTGATATTTGATGAAAAGAGAACCTCTGAAATGCTAGATAGGCTTCCCTGCACTGGTAGTCCGTTCACCTGTTTGAGGCTGCCTTCCATTGCCAGGTAGAAAATGCAGTTCCTCATGTTTGCCAGGAGTGCGGCCGCAGGGCTGAGTTTGGGGCTGCTCACCCTTCTTGCCCCACCTCCTCCCCCAGGTTGGAGCCGCACTCCTGGTGGAAGAACAGGGCTAGGGAGCAGCTGCATTTCCGAAAACCAACATCCCTGAAATTTTAGAGGAATGCCATTCCATGAAGGTTCATTTATATAAAGAACACTCCTGGAAACAGCACGTCGGGAGTCTGGCAACCCCCTAGAAGACCGTGGTACCAGCCAGGTTAAAACCTGGCTATCTGGCAGCGAAGGTTTTAGGCTCTAATGTTGTTATGAGAACTAGGGGCAGACATGGTGAACAAACCAAACAGAGATGGATGAACAAGCAAATAACACTAAAAATATATTAAAAGAAAATCTAGTTGCCCGAATTAGCAAAGCAAGGATGTTGTTTTCCTTTCCACACCAAATGAGGGCAATGCTGCAGGCTCAGGAAAGAATTATAATTAAATTCTGTGCTTGTAACATGGGGAGAGGCAGCTGGCATACAGTTGTGCTTACAGGTTACTAAAGCCTGCAGAGAAGCTCACCTTGAGCAAGGCTCCTGATGATGGACAAAGTAAAGGCACTTGTTTGCAGTCTAAAGAGAAGTCCTACAGAGGATGCACACAACCAAGAGCGAGTTTAAAGTTGCCCATAAAACTAAGGAAAATCTAGTGCACTTTTAATTATTTTGCGGAGACAAAAAACTCCGTTCAGTCCTTGAAAATCATTTGGGGAAGGAGAATAAAATCAAAGTACTAAATGCTTCTATTGTTGGATTTCAGCAATGCAAAGGCAAGAGCAGAGCACTAGGCAGGTGATTTGTTTATTAGGGCTTCCCCTTGCCTCCCGCATTCTGAATATAAAATGAAAAGATTAAAGAGGACCGTCTGACAGATGATAAAAAGCAGCAGTGCAAAATGTGACAAATTCTGGTATTTTCACTTTGAAAATTGTAGAGCATTCTTACCCTGCATAGCAATGACCTTTTAGATCTCCAAAGTGGGATTACATCACAGTTTTTCTTTCAGGCCACCCTTCTGCTCAGGAAACATGTTCAGATCATCGCTGTTTGTATCAGGAACGTGTCCATGGCTTCCAATAGAATTGGGATGGTGTGTGCATGTGCAGAGTGTTGTCCTGTGTCTGCATGTATAGCACTTGATAAAGGGACAAGAAGTTGGTGCTTTGTATAAAAGTATAGACCTGAAAATCCTGTTCACARTTTGGAATGAACTGATGAAAAACATTAATTCCAACAGGACAACAAACAAACACAATAACTTCCTGTTGTTTTTGTTGGTATGTCTGAATTTTCACTAGTGGAGACCTCTCAGAGAGGTAAGTGCAAGACCTTCTGCATCCTCTGCAGGTCAGACAAATGATGAAAACCTGCTTTCTTGGACCAGCATGTGTAACTGAAGCAGCACCGGCCAAACTCTTTTCTGGATAGTCCTTTGGCCTGTTGATCTCCTTTGTTCTGGCAAGGCACAGTGAAGACACGGCCCTTGACCTCAGTCTCTCCCCAAAGCCAGGTCAAATCAGTGCTGGAAGCAGGGGTTAAAGTTTCAAGTGAGACCTTGAAAGAGACCTGGGCAGAAACCATTTGAGAGAGCCTGCTGTGCTGGACACTCATTCCTAGGCAGTTGGACAGAAACAAGCGCAGCACAGGGACACTCCGCAACTGGTCACGGCCAGGCCAGGACGGACAGTGCCTTGGCCGTGCCCGGCTCGTCAGCAGGCCCACACATCCTCCCCAGGCCTGCCTTAGCGCGGCCGGGCCTAGGAACGCGGGGGAAGTCGCGTCCTGGTGCGAAGGGGCTGCCCCGCGGCCGCCCTGCCCAGCGCCGTGGCGGGGACAGGCACTCCCAGCGGGGACACGATCCCAGTGGGGACACGATCCCGGCAGGGACTCGATCCCGGCGGGGACAGGCTCCTGGCGGGGACACGCTCCTGCGGGGACACGATCCCGCGGGGACACGTGCTACTGGCGGGGACACGCGCTCCTGGTGGGGACACGATGCCGGTGGGGACACGATCCCGGCGGGGACACGATCTCGGTGGGGACTCGATCCTGGTGGGGACACGATCCCGGCGGGGACACGATCCCGGCGGGGACTCGATCCCGGGCGGGGACATGATCCCGGCGGGGACTCGATCCCGGGCGGGGACTCGATCCCGGCGGGGCCACGATCTCGGTGGGGACACGCGCTCCCGGCGGGGACACGATCCCGGCGGGGACTCGATCCCGGGCGGGGACTCGATCCCGGCGGCGACTCGATCCCGGCGGGGCCACGCGCTCCCGGTGGGGACACGATCCCGGCGGGGACTCGATCCCGGCGGCGACTCGATCCCGGCGGCGACTCGATCCCGGCGGGGCCACGCGCTCCCGGTGGGGACACGATCCCGGCGGGGACACGATCCCGGCGGGGACTCGATCCCGGCGGCGACTCGACCCCGGCGGGGACTCGATCCCGGGCGGCCCCCCCGCGCGCCGCGCCGCCCCGCC